TCGGACAAGGTACGTCAAACTAAATATCTCTGACAACGCGACCAAGTTGTGGAAAACGAGGTCCGACAACTTGTATAGAGCAAATGGAGACTGCGACCAAAACTAAGGCCGCAACATCTTAGTTTTCATGAATAGAATTATAACGTAGTTTAGTTTTAAGCTAATTTAAGGTTATATGCAAATATAAACAAGCCTGGCCTACTCAATTAGCGTTTGAATAAAGATAAATGAAAAATGTGCTAGATGTAAACAGACAACATCATTGAGGTTGTTTGAGCATGCTTTCGCAACTTGGTCAGATTGCAAGGAAGACTTAGAGGAACGCACACTAGTCCATTGTATGCATGATAATTTCAAAATTCGGACCATTGACGTGGTACATTCCCAGACGTTTAGCTGGCATCGTCAGTGAGTCTTCCCATTCTTAGAACCACACTACAACTCGTCATAAAAAAGTAAAGCCGATCTTTTGACCAAACGTGTGGTAAACAGCTGTTGCATCTCTACTTCTGCCCTGGCCTATTCACATTTCCTATATCCTCGTATCACGCCTTCACTGTTACAATTTTTACTATGCTTATTTAGATGTGGTGGGATGTGCTCCTTTGAGCGGCATTCATCACATCCCTAACACTACACTGGCATTCTCACCCCTCCTTTGCCCTTGTGTTGGGAATGTTAATCAGTCTGCCATATTGTTACGCAGTCCTCCTTCCCTAGATAGTATCAGTCTCTCTCTTGCCCCGTAAGATCCGTCTGCTATATCCATTGTTCACAAATTTCACTCGACCCTTGTCACCTCATCTGTGCTAATCTAGGCGTTATTACCCATCCAATGCGTCTGAGTGACTCATTCGAGGCTAAAGCATCTGAGTAAGTTTAATGGTAAAGCCTTTGCTACATGTACCACGTCTCTGGTAAAACCTACTGTCAGACAACTAGCTCCAGTCTCCGCCGCGTCTACCCTGTTTCTATCCTTAATGACAAGTCTATGACTTCCTATGCCCTAGTCTCTTGTGTGCCAATCCACAAATGTTGTGATACTGCTTGCTTTGATCACGTTGGACCACAAAATTTGTGGGCTGGCACACAAGGGACTAGGGCATAGCAAGTCATAGACTTGGTATTATGGATAGAAACAGGATAGATGCAGTGGAGGCTAGAGCTAGTTGACTATAAAATATACGTGCTTCATGGATCACGTCTATGATCAAACACGTCTATTGTTAGCCAAATAGCTCGTCTTCACCGCGTCTATCCTGTTTCTATACGTAATTCTGTCTATCAGTTCCTATGTCCTAGTCTCTTCTGTGCCAACCCACAATTGTCGTGGTTCTACTTGCTTTGATTAGGCTCACCGAAGACGTTTCCTTGTTGATTCTGATTGTTCCTTTGTCGTCCCATTGCGATTTATTGTCCTGAAATTAAGGATATTACCTTGATTCCGTCGTTTTCTTTTTGCTGATCTTACTGTTGCTTGATCTTCTCTGAGTTTGTTTAGGCAATATGCAAAGTTTTCGCTCATCCTGCTTTCTTCAAGTCTCATGTTCATTAGATTTCCCTCAGTCAGTATAACGATGGCCTTTCGGATCTTTTGTTTTCTCGTATTTTCACAATAGGCAGCCAGCCTTTTAGTCGATTTCCATTCGATTTCGTGCCCCGCTCATGCAATGTGTTCCGCTATTTCGGATCTTTCCGTATCCACGTTCCTGCAAAGTCTTTGAGGTTCCTTGATTTGTGGGCCGATTTTTCTTCCTGTTTCACCAATATTCTTTTGCTCACAGTTGCCACATTTGATGCGATAAACTCCCGAGCAATCGAGTTTGTAAGTTTTCTCGTGTTGCGTCGGAAGACTGGTGAAGTGTTTTCTTCTCCTTTGTTATCACCTTGACATTCCAGTGCATTAGTTACGGTCACATTTGTTGGTTCAGTCAGGCAAATCCACTTTTGGTTGTCATTATGATTCCTTATCTGATTTTTTATAAAATCCAAGTTGAAATCGGCCCTTTATAACCTCCGTATTTTTTTCTATAAATTCTCTTGGGTATCCGTTAGTAAGATAAATCCGTGTCAGTTTGTCCAACTCCTCGTCCCAGAACTCATTGTCCGTTAGTCGTAAGCTTCTGATGATCAAACTCCTCAGTATTCCTATCCTAAGTCTGTAGTTATGGTGAGACTGAAAATTAAGGATTATTCCCGCATATGAATTCTTTCTCTATAGTCTCCTCATGAGCGTCCCTTTTGAGAGCATGACTTCAATATCCAGAAAGGATAGTCGTTCATCCTCCACCTCCATTGTGAATTTAATTCCTTGGTTGATGAATTTGAAGCTTGAAAGTAAATGACATACTCTCGAATACCGTTAAAAATTCATATGAATTTTCTCAAAGGATCTAAAATATTGGGCTGGCAGGGACGGAAATGTTGGTAAGTTTTGACGTAAAATTCATGTACACAAACATATAAGGCGAAAAGACAGTCATCGCCCCGCTGAAGGTCTTGTAGCGAGAGGATATCCTGGAGGCAGAGAGGATACGGAATGAATCGTTAACACAACTGATCAACCTGACAGTAAGGACCACATATTTTACATTTAGCAGCAATATCTAGAGGAAATATTTGGACTACTGATAGGAGCTCCACTCTCACCTCTTTTGGCAAATGTGTGCATAGACAAGATGAAAAGGGAACTCGAGAAGTCACCATTGCAACCAAGAATGCGTATGTGATACTTGGATGACTACTTTGCACTTTGGTCGCATGCTAAGGAAAATTTAAATGAATTCCCTAATTTAATTAACAAACTCGATGAAAGAATTAAATTCATAATTAAGGTGGAGGATGAACGACTACCCTTTCTGGATATTTAAGTCATACGCTCCAAGGGGACACTTATGAGGAGACTATACAAAAAGAATTCATCTGCTAGAATAATCCTTAATTTTCAGTCTCACCATAACTACAGACTGAAGAGGAGTCTGATCATTAGAAGCTTACGACTAATGGACAATGAGTTGGACAAACTGACACGGATTTGCCTTAGTAACGGATGCCCCAGAGACTTTATAGAAAAGAGATTATAAAGGGCCTATTTCAACTTGGATTTTATGAAAATCAGATCAGGAATCAGGATGACAACCAAGTGGATTTGCCTGCCCTCATCAGAACTGAGTCATCAATTGCGACAGTTACTAAGGAGATGGAATATCAAGGTAATAACAAAGAAGATACAATACTTTTCACCAGTCTGCCGACGCAACACGAGAAGGCGGGCAAACTTGATTGTTGGGGAGTTTATTTCATCAAATGCAGCAACTGTAAGCAGAAGCATATCGGTGAAACAGGAAGAAAAATCGGCCTACGAATCAAGGAACATCAAAGAATGCAGGAGCATGGACACTGAAAGATCCAAACAAACTCAGAAAAGACCATGTGACAGTAAGATCAGCAAAAAGAAGGCGAGTGTATCAAAGTAACATCCTTAATTTTAGGAAGAGCAATCGCAGAAGGACGAGAAAGGAACAATCAGAAGCCAAGAGTAGACGTCTTCAGTGAGCCTAATCAAAACAAGTAGAGCCACAACATTTGTGGATTGGCACACAAGAGACTAGGAAATAGGAAGTCATAGATATGGTAATATGGATAGAAACAGGATAGACGCGGTTGAGAATAGAGCTATTTGGCTAAGAATAGACGCGCTTGATCATAGACGTGATCCATGAAACACGTATATTTTTAGTCGAATAGCTATAGTCTCCACCGCATCTATCCTGTTTATATCCCTAATACCAAGTCGATGACTTGCTATGCCCTAATCTATTGTGTGCCAACCATAAACGTTGTGGTTCAACAATGAACCTAATCAAAGCAAGCAGTATCGCAACATTTGTGGATTGGCACACAAGAGACTATGGCACAGGAAGTCATAGGCTTGGTATTATGGATGGAAACAGGATAGACGCGGCGGAGACTAGAGTTAGTTGGCTGACAGTAGGCCTGTTTTAGCATAGACGTAGTTGATGAAGCAAAGGCTTGACCATGACAATTACTCGGGGCCCTTAGCCTCAAGTTAGTCTTCCAGACGCTGAGTGTAGGAAATAACGCCTCGTGGAGCACAGATAAGGTGGCAGGGATCGAGTGAAATACGTAAACCAGAAAAAGAGTATACGGATCTTACGGGGCAAGAGAGACTGTGATTAGACCTATGTAAGGAGTGCGTAACAATGTAGCAGACTCTGATCAACAGTCCCATCAGAAGGGTAAAGGGGAGGGCGTGTGAGAATGCCAGCGTGAAGTCTGGAGGGTCCCCATGAAAGCCGCTCCAAACGGCACACAACACCAGATTTAAATATGGAAAAAATTGTGACCCCACAAAAGGCCACACCATTTTGGTCTTCATACCTTCAATCAAACTAGGGGGCATTATTGTTAGAACCGAAGCTACGATATCATAATGAATCCACCCCATAATTGG